CGAGCTAAAATCTGTGCCTTACCTCTATCTACGGTGTACCTACCGTAACATTACATTACAGTATCCCGGACCCGGACCACTCTGGCTGGAGCTTCGCCAAGGTGTTCCCAATAATGTGCCAGAATACCGTAGAATTCCATCGCATGCTGACAAAGTTAGAGCTTTCGAAAACTTACGACCCACCGGTGGGTCGTATTGTCCGAAATGGCAGTACACGTACGACCCACCGGTGGGTCGTATTGTCGTCAATGTGTTAATCCAAGCTAGACAAAGCAGAACGATTAGCATATGAACTTGAATTACTCGAAACTTTGTACCCTTTCCTTGATGATCTACAGTGACGAGGAAGCAGAAGTGTGAACCATATACAGGGAGTCCCAAAAAGATCTGCACACTGTTTGATTGTTAATAACTCTTTTGCTTTAACGTCGGTACCATTGTGTAGAGCAAGGTTCAGCTTAAATCTGCAATATAGAGAGAATCAGCGATGGCTTTTCATCGCGGTAGGATTATGGTAGAAAACTCGCGAAGAATTTTAGACCATTGAAAGCCATATTTTGCTTCAAAAAGAAAACCAAACAATCCAAAAACAATTATGAGCTAATCGAAGTGGCTGATTTTGAATCTGAAATTTATACTTTACTGTATTGCTTCTTTCACAATGTATATCGGGAATATCGCGACAAGTGGTCCTCTAATGTTCGTAAAAAGCTCACGAAATTGTAAAAAGTGGTGTAGTGAAACCAGCGACATTAAAGACAAGTCAAGACATTGAAGCAAAAGGGTTATTAACGATCAAACAGTGTGTACCGTCTTTTCGGGACACCCTGTATAATTTTATATAATTATTTCGATTTCTTTGCTTCGTCACTGAAATACTCACCTGTGATAAGTGAGCTCAAGGATTTTTCGCAATATTGACCAGTTTGTTGAGCACAACACATCATTACTGGTATCAAAATGCGACTTTCAGGTCCATGTTGTCCCACGATCGAGGTAAGAAGAAAAATCGAAGACATCTTTACTTGATTTATCGGTTAGTTTGAAGTTTACGACGCTAATCTGTCACACGTAATTCAATCGCTGTTTATGAAAGTAGTTAGGGCCCGAAGGCGTTAATCGGCTGGATTGGGATTGATGAACGGAGAATCCAGAGTCAAGAATCATATTACTAGTATTATATACCAAGTATGCTCTGTCTATATCTCATGCTTACATTAAGGGTCAGGCATACTTCACGCTATTTCAAGCACGACGCGATTTGGCAATATTCCAACTGTCCATAGGTTATTGTAAGCATATTATAAAGTACAGAAAATAGGGCATTTCATCAATCCACATAAGTTTTACACACTATGCATGTGCACTTTGCTAGCGTTGGATCTGAAGACTTCTGACGAATTGCCAAATCGCGTTGCGACTGAAATCGCGTGAAGTATGCCCGGCCCTTTAGATGAGGTTTCACCGGACATTTTAAAGGGGATAAACAGCAGTATGGCAACATTTGCAGACAAGGTCGCTATGCATAAAGTCAATAGGTTTTCAAACGTACAGGCCTAATGAAAATAGCTAGTCGTCTAGATTTTATTCTTGAATATCCCCTTATCGGTTCACTAAAGCTGAAGGTTTGCTAGACTAACACCACTCGCAATTCATGGTTGAATATCTAGTGAAAAAGCGAGGAGGAAGGTTTGAAAATGGGGTAGAAAGTTATTAAGAACTTCCTCCTCCAACAGATATCTGCATATATTTTGTAAAACAAACTTTGGGCTCACCGTAGCGTGAAGGAACCTGTAACGTCAATGGTGAGAAAAGAATGTACTAAAATAGAAGATGTTCATTTTCCAAAGAAGTATATGAAAGAAGATTTGTAGACTTTGTGCTAGGAAATGTCAAAGATTCCTGTCACTGTTCAGCTGAACAGAAAAATTTTGCTTTACTAAATCTTCCAATATTTTTTCGAATTTTGATTATGACTATAACATCATCAAAAACATCTCACTGTGATGAAGTTTATGCTAACTTGGTTTTCTTTTATTTGCTAAGGACATAAAATTAAAAGCAAAAAAAACCATTTCAGTGTAAAAATATGCACTGCCTGCTTATCCCATGCCTTCCCTTTATGTTCTTTTTTTTTCTGCTTTTGTTTTCACATCCAGTCTTTCTCATCTACTTTCAAGTTCGAATTATGATAGTGCACAACCACATGCATCCATCTTCTTCGAAAGATCGCTTACTGTTAGTCGTCCCTCGCTAATCTCTCATATTTAGGGACAGCTGGATTAGAAAGGATCCCCTTTTTCCAAAAGTCAAATTTCGAGAAAAAAATCAGCTGTGAACAGCTACATTGAAGTCAGCTTGTGGCAATTTGGTTTCAACATAGAAAACTATTGTATCGTGGACTTATGTTAGCACACTTTCCTCCTTGAAGGTTGGGTTTGCTGTAGTTGTTATTTTAGTTTTACAGATAAAGCTAAACTGCCAGCGGAAAGTCTTTTGTAAAGCTACACAAATAAGTCTTAGGCTCCCTTATACATCTCAGAAAAGGTCTACTATCCTCTTCAGTCAGAAGAACCTCAGAATATGGACGTGCAACTTGTGAGAAGTTCAAAACTTCTTCATGGATTTTTGATTGCATTTGAGCCAAGCTGGAACTTAGTAGGAGAGATTTAATAAGCAGGACCACAGCTAGTCTAGAGTAGACTCCCAAGCACACAGGAGCAATTGCTACCGAAGATTTTGAGGTGCTGCTCACCTTTCACAGCATGCTAATTTTTTTTTTATATAGATAGTAAGTATTGAGGGGAAAAAAACCTAATGGCATATTACGAAACCTCTGTATGATTAGCCTAGTCCCAAGTTAATTCTGCTTTATGCAGCGCTCAGACTAAGACTGAAGAACATCTGTAATGGTCTGAAAGTTCCCTGCGCATGCTTTGCTCTCAAAGAAGTGCAACCTTGTGGATTATGTCCCAGTCATAGCATGTGTTTTTCTTTTGTCTACCTTTCATGTACTCAATACATCTTTTTCCGCTCCATTCCATCCCCTAATATTGCTCTCCTAAAATGAACAACGCTTGGCCTAATATTGTGCAATGAAAAAGACCTTTTGGTTTGAGGAAAATCATTTTGTCGACTTTGAAGTTGACTATGAAAGAAAATGTTATACTGAATAATTCATAGCTGACTTATTGAAAACACTGCTTCAAGCTAAATATCAGAAGCTTATAGAATTTTCAAAGAGGCTCTAATGATAAAGTGCAGCTAAAACTGGCCTTGTCTATTGAGAGTGACATAGAAATGAACAAAAGTGAGAATCAAAAGTTTGTTTCCTTTTGTTAAGTAAAAATGAGCATTATTAGACAGTGCCAAATCAGCTGCTGCAACACGTCACACCTTTCATCGTTTTGAAGTATATAAGTTATGAATTATTAAAATTTAGCAAATGATAGAAGGTAATTTCAAAGTCCGCTGCCAAGACCGTGGACAGTCAGGAGGTGAACCGACGCAACCTTCTGCTTTTGCTTGCTTTTGAGTACCATTAGTTGCCATCCTTATATATGAACATATGTCTACTGTCATAGCCAAAGAATTCTCAAAATTTGAGTTTCAACCACTCTCCTATCTTTATTCGAAAAAAACATGTCCCGTTCATCAGACTAGAGCATTTGTGGGAGTTGTCGTTTATCCTTCAAGCCCACGATGTACTAGTAATTCGAATATTTCTGATGGAGTACTGTGGAAAGTATTCACTGGAATTTAGAAAGGTGATCTGCTTTAACCCTCCAGTTATTCGTCAATGCTGATTTTTTTTCATATCGTATATGTATTATATATGACGTCAATTCAATACGAGTGGTCATTTAGATCTTCTCCTTAAAATTTGGAAAAGTCATGTAAGTGCAACTAACTTGCCCACTTGATGAAAGTTAGAATGGCATGGAGCTACTGACAACTCGACTAATGCTTTGAGCATGGTTACTAGGCACACTTATTCAGCATACTAATCAAATTGTCTGCTATGAATAAAGTGTTGAGTTTTTGCGTTTCATAGTAGTCTTTATTGATAATTTTCTTCTTAGGAGAGCCTTGTAAGACTTTGAAGTAGATGAAACAGTGTTTGAAAAATGAAACCACATGAAACCAATCTTTTTTGCTCACCCATCGAAGTTCAGTTAATATTAACTAAGACTTGCAATGAAACTATTCAAATTGTGCTCAGAAACAAAAATATTTCCACATAATGATTAAAGTAAAACTCAAAGTAAGCAAGAAGTTGACGTTGCTTAGCCGACCATTGTTCTAAAGTTGTTCAAGCATTCGCTAATACATGTTGAGTTTTCTTTATTTATGTTTTTATGGAACCAATTAAGACTTACCGCGAAATTTCAAGAGGGTCACTGATTTTATCTTATGTCCATCTTGGGAAACTTTTTTCTGAAATGTAACTTGTATATTTATATATACATTATATATATTTAGGTCTATTTCATAAATGGTTTGAACAAAAACAAACCAGTCTAGACAAGTTCACTTTTGATATATGATATTTTGATATTTGTCACATCCACCATGCCGATCGTCCAAATGAAGAAGAAAATTTGGTGGAAAGGATAGTTTTACTATTTTTCCAAAACTTTTATCAAAAACATTCTAGGCCCTCTCTCCTTATTGAAGAGTTCCGATTCAGTTTTTTTTTGGGTTTATTACATTTTATTCTTCAAATCATCAGTATTGTTCCATGGAAGATCCTTACTCATACGCAGTATTCATCACCTGTATTATAGAGGAGGAGAAGGTGGCGCATATGTGGCCATTGCTCTAAAGTTCATTCAACGATCCGCTAATTACACTCTCGAAGCTGATGACTAGTTGAATAGTGTTACCCCCCCCCCCTGGTGCCCGCTTTTCCGAAATATTAGGTCATCGGGGGGTGGGAAGTAGAAGAGAGGGGGGTTGAGGACTGAAGGCGGGGTGAAAGGCGTCCATGAACATTCTGAACGCAGCCATGCTCGCCCGCAGTGTCGTTTTCACCCTTTTATTCACAATTCTTATTGTGGACGCTGCTCTTCCAAGGTATGAAAGTTTTCTTCTTGATTTCTTAATGAGCTAGTAGACGTTACACTCGTTTGTTTATTGTCAGCTGCCACGAAATGCACAAGCACAGATTACGTTAAATACGGTAACATTCTGAGGCTGCCTTGAGAAACGGTAGCTGAAATGAAGTTAACAAAACGTCTGGCTGTCTACTATTTACAATTTTGTGTTTGCAACAATGTATGATTCCTAAATTTACGTCTTGTTTACATGTTTCACAGTTGGGAACATTTTTTTTTCGAAGGAAAAGTCTCCATAGGGCATAACTCACTTCCGGAAATTTGCTCGTTATTCTCGATTATGTAATTCCCAAAGCTTGTTCGTCAAGCGTATTTGATGCCATACTTCGTTACAGCAACAATTTGAATAAATCACTCAGTCCTCATTTTTGTCCACTTCCTATTGCCATCTCTCTCGAAAAAAGAACCTTGATTTTTACACGAAAGCAGTGAGTTCTCCACCCAAATGAAATATATCAAAGCCAGTAGATATATATAGCAGCTCATAGTTTCCTAAAGTTGACTCTAGTCGCCTGATTGATAGCACGCGGATTTCACACTCGCTTCATTTTGGCAATGGGTCCTTTGAGAATTGTATGATTTCGGCGAGCGTGTTGCGTTTGTGGGCTCTTAAAATCACTCAGTACTAGAAATAAGCTCTCGAAAGTGAATTTGGGACCATATGGAATTTGCCAGAGGGGATTGATTCTCTAAGCGTTGAATGTTTCATTTCCACTAGTGACTGTTTCTGTACAGTTAAACTAACTAAATGCTAATCATAAGGAACTACATGTTATCGAAAAAATAAAATCAAAACTTCGTTTCGTTCCTTCCCTTAGACGGAGATAATGAACATTCAGTAGCCCTCCCCGGAACTCTCCGGTATGGAGGGGGTTGACTGGATTAATTTGAATAACGTTAAAACACTCACCTGTACGGGGTTGTTACATCCTTGTCCTTGGGAGTAGCGCTCCTATTTGCAAAAGCACTGGCTGATTAATAATAATTCCAACTTTATCATCTCAATTTCAAAGACACTTGCTGATAATTTACATGTTTTGTTTCCCTTATACACAAAGTAGTACTTACTGCCAAAGCTCTGACTTATTAACTCTCACCTATTCATTGTGTGAGCAAAACAACAAACTTCAAAGAAAGCAGTGTAGCCACGCAATTCTACTACTAACATCATTTCACTGGAGACAAGTTGTACTTTTGAGTGATCTGTTTGATGTTTAGTTACCCATCAGATTCACGAATTCCTAGAGCGTCAGACAATGTCATGAGCAGCGATGTTTACTACACAGTTTGCGCTGAATGAAGAATACAAATGCCAAAGTTCCAACAATTGAGTTAGTATTGTTGAATGCTTCTTTCTAAATCAACTACACAAAATGCGCAGCTATCAGAAAGAAAAGTTATATGTACTTTGCATAAAAAAATAGGTCTAGCCATACAGTTAATAAGGGAAAGGTTTGAAGTTATATTTCTTTCAAAGTAAGTACTTTTTTAAGGCTGCGACCCTCGAAGAAAGCGATGCGAAACTCGCTGGTACGATTTGGAAAGCGAAGTGATGTGCCTGAGAACGTTTTCCTAGGTAGAAATTCACTCTTTTCGCACTTTTTTTATATTTGAGTAAATTGCGAATTTCCAGGAGAATCTTTCGGGCCAAGTGAGGCTGAAGGTGCTTACTACGAACGAGAACAGCAAAGAGTTCCTGTGTTCAACTCATACTACTGATCTCAGCTAGGATGCTAAGCTACCATAGCTTCAATTATGAGAGGCCACCATGAAGATCTGTGCAATGTTTTGTAATCCCACCGCTGCAAATTGATTCCCCAACCAGATGTTAATAAATGTATTTTGTGATTTCATAACCCTCACACAGATTTCATGCTCTAATGCCACAAAGAGAAGTCTGGAATGAAAGAAAGCTTTTCATCTCTAAACTAGACCACCAGTTGAAGCAATAAGGGAAAAGATTTTGTTTTTACTTGCCCGTAAAGCTCGTTGCTCCTCGATTCGTAAGCCAACGTTGACAAATATATTTTGAGATAAGGCGACAACCTATCGCGAGACGAAATCTTTGCTCAATGGATGCGATTCTCGCTGCTATTGCTGTCAAAAATGACGTCATTATGGATGGAATAACTTTTTTCAAAGTGAAAACAGTCCTGTTGGTTTATGATCTCTGATAATTGCAAGACTTCTAAAACTATTTGGATCCATATGACCTGCGTCTCAAAGATTTTCTAACAGAACCACTGTACCAGCAGTTCGTAAATGTTCTGTTGAAATAAAAAAAACTAGAAATTTTGCTTCGAGCTGGGCTTATACAGTATGCAGGCCGTTAATAATTTTTATAGTACTTCTACATAATGTGAATGGCAGTAAGGTTTTTGTTGTTGTGCTGAAACAGTAATCTTAACTTTATTCTGTTAGAACACTTCCACTCCAGTGCGTACATGCTCAGTTACACAACAATGTCTGGAAACCTTTTTCCGGAAATCTGCATTGCTTCTGTTATCTTCACTGCTAAAAGGGATTAACTACATATAAACAGCAAAATTCATAACCAAGTTGACTAGTGAAGTAAGGCAAAACACACTATCAAACTTGGCATTTTCATATTAAAATCATTTTCCATGATGATGATTTTCCATGTCCGACTGAGTCATCAAATATTTTCCATATTTTATCACTGACATCAAAAAAGCTACTTTGTAGATTACTTCGGAAACAACAAAGCTTGCTGGTTATTACTATGAGATAGGAGCAAAGTTAGAGAAACACAAATAACAAAAATGACAAAGTGTTGGATTGTTTCACTGGGAATTATCTAACAACCACGAATTCAAAAACTTTCGGATTTTATAGGACGAGGTAATCCAGATAATGTGCACACGATTGCTCCAAGTCATATATTCCAAATCCTTATTCGAGATCAAGATAGGCACTTAGATTAAAATTTAAATTACTTGCGAAGGTTCAAATATACTAATATTCATAGTTGCTAGCTCAGGCACAACACTGTAAACATCAACTTTATTTTTAGCTATAAATTAGCGCACTGATCAAGCTTTGAATGTCTTGTATGAGAGCCCTTATATAATATAAGATTCCAAAAGTAAGTAAACACTTTTTAGTCGTTGATATATCCTTTCCTACAAAGTCTTTTGCATATCTTCAGGTGCCCTTCTGTAGAGCTGTTTTCACCTTAGATTTACAGTACAATGCGAATCATATCTATCTTGATTACTATAAAGTCACCTTAAAATCTTCCGGCATTTCACGCCATTGTGAAAAAGGCTGTGTAAAAAAATTTCATAAAAGACTGAAAAGCTATATAGCGGTGCATTCAGATATGCTGGTTTCATTAGAAAGCTTTTTATGAGTTTTTTCAGCTTTCAAATGATGAATCCTGAAAACTTTAGAAAAACGACATTTTTGTGGTCTATCTGGCATAACTTATGAAGAAAGCCCCTCGGTAAAGTGCTACTATCACATTTATAATTAGCGACACAATCTAGCCCAATGGCCAAATTTTTTCAGCTTGCTGGGTATCCATTCTGAGGCAAGTTGCGCCGATGATGGCTCAAAACCCCCTTCGAACTTCCTACCGTAACCCTACAGTAATGAAGAACGATATGTGATTCGCTCCAACTGTAAATCTAAGTTGTAAATTGGCTAAAAACAAAAGAAGACCGACAGAACCAGAAGAAATCAGTGGAGTCATTATATCAAATGCTATTTTAGACTTGATATGAACTTTGTCCGTTCATACTTAGATGATCTCCGCAATGTTTTGACGCACAGATCGTTCAGCACAAATTCGTTTGCACAACAAAAACGCTGTGAAAGCGTGAAAAAGCTAAAATGTTGCAAGTCACATGAAAGATACCGTGTTCGCATGGTCGACATGATTTTTCTAATATTCTCATGATTGCTGAAAGTCATGTGAGAAATAGATTAGAAGTATTTTTATCGAGTGCTATCGATCACTTGGGATCAATCCTGCTTGCCGTTTCTCTAAGCAAAGCGCTTTATGGCACAGAAATGTATTAGGAGGAAGTAAAAGACCTACTAGGAAAAGACTGATTGGCAATTTGAGCATCACTGAAATTCAAAGAATCGCAGAGGAACAACCACTATATGAAAGTACCTCATTTGGAATACAACATGGAACCACGGGTGAAAGTGTTGTAACAATATTCTATGACATTTTAGCAGTTTTCCAAAAATTTCAACGTCAACGACACTCCCATATAACCTAATAAGCTTATTGACTATATAATGTCAGCCATACACTCCTTGATCAACCTGATTGCTTTGATAATGGATATTGATGTTTGATACAGTATAAAAGAATTCGTTACAATTTGTTCAACCTACCTATTAGGGTATCTCATAAATTTTCACCGTTTTTACTACAACCGTCATCTTTGTATCTTTCTTTCATCTGACGTGGCTTGAGTAATCATTCGACAGGGCAAAGCAAGCTCTACAAGATGGCTATCAAAAGTCTGCCCAAATCGTATCCCACGTGGAGTTTCAAGCTAAAATCTGATAGGAGTCGAAAACGAACTTTTCTGTCAAAAATCGTAGCTCCGCCCCAAAGTGTCTAAAAAATTCTCCACTTTTTCTGGCATATGCTTGACACATCGCACATTCAATTGCATGCTTTTCGAATTTTTTTCAGGCTAGAAATAAAGAAAAAAATAAATGAGGTAAAATGGCAAACTCTGCCCCTAGACGTCCTAAGCTCCTCCCACGTATGTGATCATATGGCTCATACATACAGAAGTACGATCATGTATTTGTATCCTTTGCAGATGCCCCAGTTCTCAAGAAATGCTAATGTTTAGGGTAAAAATGGTAAAAAATTATGAGGCACCCTAATATTTGAAAAATGTTGTGGATCTGGAAAGGGATAAATGGCAGCAGAAGGCCGTACCAAGAAATTCATAGGGTCAAATATAAATGCTGTATGAAACTTGTGTATATGCAGAACTTTTATTCAAAAAGACCTGATTATGTTTCTCAGCACAATTTCTCCTTAACACTGACAAAAATATTCTTTCGTTTCACTAGAAATCTCAAGTCATCTCGTACGTATTACAACTAATTCAGAATGTTAAGAGCTCACCGACTCGCAAAAGCTTTGCAGGTTTCGGATCTAGTTAAAATCCAAAGTCCACATATCAGTTCAGCTTCTAGAATCACTAAGTTTTAACCTGTTCCCGAGTTGCAGATTGACGGCAGCCAAATTCACATTTATATGGAAATTTGCACTATTTGGAAATTGTTTGAGAGAACATTGCCCTATATGTTTCATCATGTATGCTATCAAGGCTGTCCAGAAAAGTACATTTGCTGATTGACATATCATCCACGAACTTTTCACCACTGATTGAGCTGACCAGACAACTGAGGAGCCGCGGCTTCAATTCGCAAATGTTTATAAATGGTCCCATGGACAGAGAATAGTTTCGTTCAAGAATATTGAACCTTCACCCTGTAAAAGGATGCTCATGCATTTACAAAAACTATCTAAACATCAGAATTTTGAGCATACTATTAGGGTGTCTCATAACTTTTTACCGTTTTTACTACAACCGCCGTATTTTTGTATCTTTCTTTCATCTACAATGGTTTGAGTAAGCATTCGACAGGGCAAAGCAAGCTCTACAAGATGGCTATCAAAAGCCTGGCCAAATCGTACCCTAAGAGCTTGAGCTGAAATCTGATAGTAGTCAAAAATGAACTTTTCGGGAAATAATCGCCCCAAAAAATCTTAGGAATCCCCCATTTATTCTAGCATATGCTTACACATCGAGCAGTCAACTGTACACTTTCCGTGAATTTCCATGGCTAGAAATGAAGAAAAAAATGAATGAGGTAAAATGGCAAACTTCGCCCCTAGACGTCCTGAACTCCTCCCAGACATGCGATTATATGTCTCATACATACAGAAGTACGAACATGTATTTGTATCCTTTGTAAGTGCCTCAGTTGTCGAGAAATGTTGATGTTTAAGGTACGGGATACCCTAATAATAACTCTGGACACAAGCTCGCTTAGTTTTGGAGCTTCTCATGCAAAGACCATGGAACTGGAACGGTTTTCTTTGCTCAGGGCTGAGCTTGGCAGCAAAAAGAAAATTGTCGAATTTAGCCTCCCACCGAGCTTATCAGAAATTTACCGTTGAAAGTTCCAAAAACCTAAAAATATAATGCACATTTCAAAACTGCTAAGACCAGCTAGAAATGTTGAAGAAGCGTTGAGATGGTGCATGATGTGCGAAAATAGCAATTTCGAAGGTGTTTTGAGTTTCACGAAAAATTTCAGCTAATGGTCACGATCCAGTGCGTTTGATTTCAATAGTCATATGCAAGCTCTTTTCGTCATTCGAAGTAGTTAATTGACGAAAAGTTTTCTGAAAAAGCTGAGAATCACAGTGAATGTTTTTCCTCGTACTTACGGGACATTTCTTTGATCACCCATCAGATATCATTCTGCAACAAGCTCACAGCAACAATATAATAACAAAACGACCTTCTCAGATCCATTTGCTCTCTTTTACACGTAGGTTGTGTAGGTTGAGTTCCGACTCAGAAATTGTTTAACTTCACCTGTATCCTTGTCTGTGAAGAGCGGCAGACATTGACGAAAAAATTTACGTCTAATTTGCGAATTTAACTGTTGAATATTTCATGAGAAAAGCGTTATTTAACATCGGTATCACCTATTCATTGTTGAGCGATTTCAGAAACGTTCTTCACGTTCCTATTAGGGTTCCTCTTTCTTGGCCACTTCCACAAAAATTCCGCTCTCAGTTTTCTAGGTTTACGTACAGTACAGCTCACAGAATGTGCGAAATTTCCGTGAATGTCGCGGAATTCCGGATATTCCGCGAAAGTCTGCGACATTCCTTGAATGTGGCGGAATTCCAGGAAATTTTGCACATTCTGTGAGCGGTGTTGTATTTTTTACTTTCATTGAGTCCCGCTTTTCAATCCTGAAATACTGCTTCTTTCTTACGATAAGAAATCAAATAAGCAAACTCATCTTTATTCTCTCGAATAAAGACGTTTTTCAGGTCCACCCACCTTTTATAGGCTCAATGAGTAATTTGCCATTTCTATTATTAGTTCTTCTTTTTTCCACCACAAACGCCGGATTTCTGATCCGAATGTGTGGCAAACGTCTGGCAGCGATTATGGACAAGATGTGCACACGTGTCGGAGAGGATTCACCATGTTACGCGGGACCTTCAGAATATGGGGGTATGTTAATTTGTTTCAATGACGGACAAAGAAAATTCCTGCTACTTTTCATTTTTGGCAAAATATTTGCAAGTCATAATAGCGGGTGTCTTAAAAGTATGTACACACTGTTAGTTCGAAATTAGTTCAATTTAGATATAGTTCCTGAATCCTTATCAAAACCTCGTGGAGTTGTCCTTAACCCATTGACGGTTAGAAGGAATAACATTTCTTATTGTTAACGTCGGATTACGGTCAGATTGAAGCGAGTTTTACGTTCTTCGAGAGCTTGAATTTGTTGGTCCAAATCGCAACCAAAAAATCCGAAGTTGCTCCGACCCGACTAGTGTTCTTACCTCAAACATTAGGATTTGAATTTTACCGTAATCCTAATTCAAATCATACTAGATCGCATAGGACGTCTATTCGATATTTCTAAGAATATGAAAATATTATCTAGACACTTTCCAGAATTTGAAAACTTGACACGAAACCAGCTTGTCTAAAGACTTTATTGTAAAAGCTTTGAGTTTTTCGAATTTTCTTCAAAAATAGCTACTTTACAAGGTAGTGGTGGAAGTAATACCTTGATACTGCACTGTTGCATACCATTTATCAGTAGGCGCCCGAGAAATTCTTTGGGGGGGGGGGGGGAGGGAGCGGGGAGCACGACCATACTTTTTATCCTATAAAAAGGGTGAAACGTCTACGAATAAAGCTTCATAATGTGGGAGATTCGAAGGCTTCCAGAAATTTTTTAAGGCTCATCCTACTTCCTGAAATTTTTTTGAGAGGCTAATTAAACTTCTGAAAAGTTCAAAAATCGAATTATCTACAAGCAGAAACAAGTTACTTGCGTAATTTTATAACCATGTAAGTGTCCTTCCCGCTCTATCATCTGGCAATTCTCGATCTTTATCTATTTTTGAATAAAACTTTAGTTGAAAAATGGGGGCAAAAAATGTGCAAAGGACATTGAGGCGAAAGATACATAGAATAGTGTACAGGTGTTTTTAAAACGCTGTGTTTTCAAGCTGTACCTGCGCGTAAGCTTTGTTTCGCATTCAGAATAAGCCAGCTGCTTTTATTGAGGAAAGTTTGATTGGTTTATCTCTTTTCAGATACCTTGCAAGTTGACGGAATAGCGGAACAATGTTGTAGACATCGTTGTGCTCATGATCAACTCTACCGATATTGCTGTAGCGAAGAAGAAGCTGACGCCTACTATGAAATGGTCAAGGGAACAAATCGGGTACAACCGTAGCCATCAAAATAGATGGAGCTGCATAGATTAGGACTTGCTGTGATAACATTTGAGCGAGCATTTCCTCTATAACCTGCTCGTATGAATACGGTAGATTTATCAATGTGATCTCAAAAAATGGTGCATAATAAAGGGTGGACTTGTTGCGCTTTCAACAACAGAACGGCTTATCTTATAACTCTGTAGGCCTATATTTCTTTGACAAAAATTATTCGTAAGCATCCGAGGACATCGATATAGAATTGCGCTCCTATCTTAGGAAGAAATAGGATTGCGACAAATTTTTCCGTCGAGGCATATCTATCGTAGCAAAACCGTTGAAGTGCTGTAATTTTTTAAAATTAGTTTTTGCAAGAAGCTGAGAGCATCACTGGTTTGTTGACAATCTAGCGATTTAAAACGATTGTGAGTTCAAAATTGCTTTTATTTAAGCTGTCGCGACGTGATTGTCACGACAAAACCGTCGCACTGAGTCAATTGCTTGAACATAAGTTTCGAAATCACGAATGTTTTAAATTCCTGGCAGGATTTCGTTAGAAGATATCTTAAATCAAAAAGGTTTTTGCGCGAAGCATCTAGTAATTGATTAAAATGTTTTCATCAAAGTTGGTGAAATTTACGAGAATTTTGAATAATTCACAAAATTTGTCTTAGAAATCGACAGCAAAAACAATGCTTTTTATGCTTTTGAATAAAACTCTGCTCTCTCGTACACTACGAATGCTGAAAATTTTGTAATGCTTTGGTTCCGAACTTTAAAGGACTTACTTCGCATCAGTGGATCATGCAGCCTTCATGAAATGGGAAAACCAAAAACAGTGGAGCAAAATTCCATCCAAAGCCTCTCAAAATATGTATCAGCTGCCGTTTTATACAAAGATTACGCCAGCATTCCAAGAGAATATCGCAAACTATTCAAATTCTACTACAACGGTGAAGAATTTTGATTGGTTTGATTAGAACTCAGATCAGAGAATAAAGGATGGTTTTCAAATTCAACCAACACTTCAGTTCTTGCAGCATAAAAATTCTTGATAAGGCTCTTCCACACCAGTGAAAAAAAAATGCATCACACTAATTAGATGCCAGTAAAATATTTTAGAAAAAGAAATATAAATCAAGATAATTTAGATGAACTTTACAGCAGCTCGAAGTAGGTTCACTTGCCATGATATTCTCGCGTCATTTGAGTTACAGCCCTGAAACAAAAATGCTACATATTTGTAGAATGAAGCCAAAAGTTCCACATTTACGAGCTCGAGTAAGATGATTGTTCAAAGAATTTACGAATGAGGAAACGACAAAAACTCTCCAGGTCCACAGATTTTACAAGAAGTCATAATTTTAGCACTAATAATTTGGTCAAACAGCAGATAATGGCTTTCTGGAGAACCCTTTATTTTCTTGTGAGACAGTTATTTTGAAAAAATGTCTACAAAGGGTGGTGTTTCATTGCGTTCATATAATTCACATTCTCAATTTTTTCGGATATAGGAGATGTTGATAAACAAATTTTTGGATTTGTATCCTGGCGCCGAGCAGACAATTTCACAAATCCTTTATCCTCATGACTGCAACTGCAAGAATTTTTAGTGAACATCTTCATTGAGCACGTTTTTTGAATCTAGGCGCAAATAAATAGTGATGGCTACAGGCAAAGGCATAGTGGATCTCTGTTAACGTCGAATTTTTATGCTAACACTTTCCCAAATTTCTACTTTTGGACATACCATAATAGTAATGGATAAGAAACCCCAATTTTTGTATCATTTAGGACTTCTGATATAACTAGCAAAACGAAAGTGAAGTTATCAGGTTTTCTATGCTTGTCAATCTTCGTAGCTTTTTTCAGTCGTCATGACAAAGAGCCAAAAGTAATCAAAAATGATAGGGTCGATTCTCATTATGTAGGACAGTTCAGTACATATCATTAGGGTCAATTCTAGAGAAAAAGCGAGTAGTTCAATGCTTCTGTCACTGACATGCCTTCACTCCTCGTCAATTTCATGTAATGTTAGCAATTATATAACGCAACAGAGCTGCATTTTCTACATAACTTTCTATATCGAATGCAGAATAACTCACTTCATTTTGTATACAAGATGGTTGAGCCCTTTTGCTGGTTACCTTCGACGATATACATATTTGCTAGACAGCTAGATTCGTAAATTATATGCTAAATGAAGTTTTCTCCATGTGTGTTTGGGAGATACAATACCACCCGTAATTTGTGAAAAAAAATGGCGGCGGCACTTAACTTACGCGGCGCCGCCGAAGTTAGGTGACTTTTGCCGCGTCGCGCGGCAAAAGTCAGCGGAAAAGCGGCAAAAGTCACCTAACTTTGTCGCGCAACGCCGCGCAACGCCTAACTTCTTTATAGAAAAGACCTTATCTTGATCCAAAATTTATGAATTCTATATATAAGAGTACCATTCAACTCAGCTCGACGAGGCGCATCTTCCAATATACGGATGTGCATAGTTGTGGGATATAAGTTTCTTTCCTGGAATTTTAGTGTAAATGGACCATTCAGTGTGCTTATTCCAGAGGCTACGTACACATTCTATTGAGCACAGCAGAAATAGGGCAGGTATAGTTTAAGAGCTCATTCCGCATGGATATGTGTGAAACTGGGCTTTTCACGGCGAAGTATGACGGGTCCCAAAATGCAGGAAGACAAAGGGAAAAGGTTGGAATCGCATGAGAAGCACATATCGCGGAATGCCGCGCGTGCTGTGCAATGTACAATACCACCCACGGAACGGGAATTGCGCGAAATTCCAGAAATTTCGCGATTCCGGATTATCGCAAATTATGCAGCGCCATAACTTCCTTCGGAATTAATATATTCTAAATTCGAAAGCAGCACTGTGTCCATCTCGTAAAGGCGAATCTTTCTACATACGTCATGTCATCTATATCTTGTTTTCAGTTTTCTCAAATTGTTCTGAGGAGGTCCCTTTGCAAGTATGTAACGCAGCGCCTATCCAACTTGAAAGCTTCCAGTAAGCACCATTTGATAGTGCTCTTCTTGTGCATTATAGTGCGCTAGTAAGCTGCCGCAGACTTCTTTTCAAAAGAGAAAAAAGCGTTGGTAAATTCTGGAAAAATCACTCGTTTCCAGATTCTACTCGCCGTAACTTTCTTTGGAGTGGATATTTTCTGAATCCGAAAAATGCATTGTGCTCAGCTCATCAAGGCAAATCTTTCGGTATGCAGAATGTCCTTGATATCTCGATTTCAGTATTCTCAAAACTTTCTGCGGACGTCTCTTCGCAAAGGTGTGAAGCAGCGCGTATTGCCCCCAGTACATTCAGAAAGAAATTTTCGATAGTACTTCTTTTGTAGATTATGGAGCGCTAGAAAGTAGCCGCACACTCCTTTTCAAAGGAGTTAGAAGGGCTGGTGAATTCTGGAAAAATCATGTCCTTCTAAATTTTTCTCAACGTAACTCTAAAATATGAAGCTCTCTTGCTAAGCAGATGTGATTTTCGTAACCAGCAGGTCGGATAACCCTTAAGTGCAAGTTTTCCAAGATGTTCAAGTAATTTCATTTTTTCTCGTTTTACGCTCTGAAGCTCGCCGGTGGATTTTGGTCAAAATGTCGATGATCTCGAATTGACAGGAAACTTCGCTTACAGAGGTTTTCGAACACGCTCTTTACGAAAATCGTGGTCTTTGAGGATTACAGGGTCTTTTTGGTGAGATACGGTGAGGTGACTGTAACTGCATCACGAAAGTGCGTAAATTGGCCCGCACTTCTCGCGTATCTGTCAGCAACCTTGCCTGCTTGCTTTTCTCAGTCAAAGTTACTAGAAACTGCGCTACCGAATGGTGCATGAATCAGGCTCCAGTCTGTAAAAATCACCGAGTTACGAGCCTATGAATACACGTCCTCATGAATTTTGCCCAAAATCTAAAGATCGCAAATCTCGTCGAAATTCCACCGTGAGCGCTTGTACAACACGCTGATCAAAATCTTTCGCGTCCTTAATGGATCTTATTGTGTTAGATTTAGTAGTTTGAGTTCTAGCCACTGAAATAGCTCTGATATTCAACTGAGCAGCTGAAGCATATGCAAGTACCATATTCAAGACAGTGGGAGTTTTTGGGCGAAGCGAACACAATATCCGCAATGCGAGTGTCATACAAGCGCTCACGGTGGAATTTCGACGAGATTTGCGATCTTTAGATTTTGGGCAAAATTCATGAGGACGTGTTTTCATAGGCTCGTAACTCGGTGATTTTTACAGACTGGAGCCTGATTCATGCACCATTCGGTAGCGCAGTTTCTAGTAACTTTGACTGAGAAAAGCAAGCAGGCAAGGTTGCTGACAGATACGCGAGAAGTGCGGGCCAATTTACGCACTTTCGTGATGCAGTTACAGTCACCTCACCGTATCTCACCAAAAAGACCCTGTAATCCTCAAAGACCACGATTTTCGTAAAGAGCGTGTTCGAAAACCTCTGTAAGCGAAGTTTCCTGTCAATTCGAGATCATCGACATTTTGACCAAAATCCACCGGCGAGCTTCAGAGCGTTAAAACGAGAAAAAATGAAATTACTTGAACATCTTGGAAAACTTGCACTTAAGGGTTATCCGACCTGCTGGTTACGAAAATCACATCTGCTTAGCAAGAGAGCTTCATATTTTAGAGTTACGTTGAGAAAAATTTAGAAGGACATGATTTTTCCAGAATTCACCAGCCCTTCTAACTCCTTTGAAAAGGAGTGTGCGGCTACTTTCTAGCGCTCCATAATCTACAAAAGAAGTACTATCGAAAATTTCTTTCTGAATGTACTGGGGGCAATACGCGCTGCTTCACACCTTTGCGAAGAGACGTCCGCAGAAAGTTTTGAGAATACTGAAATCGAGATATCAAGGACATTCTGCATACCGAAAGATTTGCCTTGATGAGCTGAGCACAATGCATTTTTCGGATTCAGAAAATATCCACTCCAAAGAAAGTTACGGCGAGTAGAATCTGGAAACGAGTGATTTTTCCAGAATTTACCAACGCTTTTTTCTCTTTTGAAAAGAAGTCTGCGGCAGCTTACTAGCGCACTATAATGCACAAGAAGAGCACTATCAAATGGTGCTTACTGGAAGCTTTCAAGTTGGATAGGCGCTGCGTTACATACTT